TAGAGATGATAGAGTCTTGCTTATCCTTTCTGCTCATGTGGAAGAGGAAAGAAATGCAGGCTTTCTCCTTCCACCTCTTCCTTCCACCCCTCCCTTCATTTGATTTCATGGGTGTGGCAGGGTTCAAACCTCTCTTTTCTCTCAAGCATTAGTGTGCTGAAATCAGGAATATATTAAGTAAGATAAGAATCAGTTCAGTTACAAGTGGGAAATGCTGATTCCCATTTAATCACCCATCCAGTCCACTATTGAGCACTCACCTATTTATCTCCTGTATACAAACAAACATGCATACAGGAGGTGCATTTATACAGGAGATACTGCTTCATGGAGAAGCATATCTAGTCAATGTCTATCTTCCAAATACAGAGGATGGTATCAGCTTCACGGCTGCACGATTACAATTGTTCCAACTCTACCCTCCTGTTTGGCATCTGCAGTACCTATCAACATTTTAAGAATGTGTTTTGAAAGCCATAAGGGGTGTGCTAAAAATCAGGCTAGCGCCACTGTAAGGTCAGCAGGCTACAATGTGTAGTTCCACTACAACCTACAGATACTGGCTGGGACAGATGAAATATATGATAAAACCCAATAATGTTGTAGAATTAATTTTATTTATATTGTAAATCTATCTTTCTAGGATGCAGTGTAGCTGACAAACATATAATGACTATGGACAAATGCAAACAGGCACCTATAGGATTAGTACAATTTCTGTTACTTGCCTTTTGCATACAATCATTCAGGAAGGGATTCCCTAGGTAGCAAAGAGACCTCCCTGTGATTTAGAAACACCCACTTCCTATCATAGTAATTTGATAGCATCACTGTTATTTAGCTTTCCTTTTCTGAATGGCTGTATAGAAAAGGGAAAAAAGGGTCAACCATAGGGGAGGGGGTCTGCCCTTTTTCAACTGGGGATTTTATGGAATGGTTTAAAACTTTTTGTGTAGCCATATTTTTGGGAGGGGGTAAGTGTAATTGGCTTATGTGTGTGTAAAATACAATACGACTCAGAGTGTAGGACTGGGGATACATGTGTAGGTGGGTGTGTCAAAGTAGAAGTTGCACTTCTATATGCAGTTATAAATATGTATTCCAGAATATATATGCCTGGGTGTGTCTCTTTGTGTCTGCAAAAAGTATGTTGACTTGTATATTGATAAGTATATTTATATCTATAGAATTTCTGACCATATCTCTGAAAATATGTCATATAAAGGCTGTATGAAGAGGTTTGCCTTTTGATTGTGCTCGTGATTCTGGTTTGGTGATTTAGCAGCCTCTTTGCCACAGATTTATATACCCATGTAAAATCAGGAAAAAATAGGAAACAAAAATCAAAAAGAGTATAAGCTTCTAAGGCAAGAGATGGATAAGGTTTTCCCCACATCTTTTGTAGCTCAGCTTTGAGATGATGGACATGGCTTTTACTGCCTGCCATTTCCAAAACCTTCAAAGGATCCTACCTTATTTGAACAGTTGCTAAGGTTCACCATTCACTGTTAGTTTGTCCTTCTGTCTGCCTTCTACCTCCTCCTCCCTTTTTTTCATTCCAAGATCTTCTCCCTAATCCATGTCCTATGTCCATATTATTTCAGGTTTTACTAAATGCATCACCAACTGAAGTCTCAAACATGGAGAATAATAATCCTATTGCAAGGGGGAGTTCCTCTCATCAGCCCCACCCTTGTGGTTTACCAGACTACCTTTCCAACAATATGCTGCTTCAGAAATATATTTTACATCTTTGGATCAAATATATCTAGGGTATTGATTTCAACCAAGATCTTTACAGGATCATCTTATTTTTCTTCATCATTAGAATACTGCATTAGGCAATATCAATTTCTGAAAGAGTAAAGTATATTGAATTTCTCTTTAAGAAACATACACTAAAGCCTTTTTACAGATATGAAAAGGCCAAAAATCCTTTATGGTTTCAATAAATCCATGTGGAATGAGATAAATCCATATTATTCTACCTAAAGCAGGATTTTGAGTAAATTGATCATTCTCAGGAGAAAGAGTTTGGCATGATAAGTGTACTGGCAGAAGAACAGAACGATCTGAGGGTATTTTTCCCCCATTTTTATTCTGGCTCACCCTTGTTTAATGGCCAGGTGCAAGATGCCTTCCCAACCTCTTCATGACCCACCTATCCTGCCATTAAAATAAATTACATGGGACCAATAAAAGAGAAATTGGGTTTCCACCAAGTTAATTCTATTCCATCTTTCCCATCCCATCAGAGCTAAGACCTAACAGAGGCGTGGTCCTCTGTCTCTTTACCAGATTGTGCACAGTTGTCCAAGTGCTTCTGGTATGTAAATGTTTGAAGAAGAGGGAACCCCAATTCTTCTTAGCCTTTCCCCATCCTACACACAATCGCTCCTAGCAGCTAATGTATTTTCAGCTTAGGAAAATACTGTCATCTTTAACAGAAAAAGAAAATAAAAGATAATAGTAACTCTCTTCTCATTTACATTATCTTACAAGGGAAGATGGGGAAACACCCATCATTCAAAATCTCTATATGCCCTTTAATATCTATCTGAGCAAACACTCACATATAAAATCTTCATTATATCTTTTGTCAAGATTTCATATCTTCAGGAGAATGGACAGAATTGGAATTAGTACCCTCCCTCCTTCAGTTCAAGCCAAAATCAACTCTCTCCTTCTTCTAATACACATCCACCCCCTCCAGATCCAAGATAGATCATTCTATGAAATGCCATCTTCTTCCCACACTTCCCCCTCTCTCCAGGTGTTGGTTTCAGGGGGAGGGGGTTTCCCCTTGTTTCTCCCCAATTCTGATCATTACACAGCCTTCCCACCATCCACCTTCTGACTCCACAGGCAAAACATACACGCGTGCACACACACCCCACTGCATTCATGGAGGGGTGTGTGATCTGAGCCTTCGGTGGAAAGATGCTTAAAGAATTGCAAAGGAAAGAGCCTCTTAGAAGCAGTTACCTCTCCTTCCCTATGTGTGTGTGTGTGTGTGTGTGTGTACACATACACACACACACATTCTACACATACAGAAACATTTAGTCAACAGCCTAGGAATTCCCCAGCAGATATATAAAAAAATCTTCAGCTCTACCTGTTTTGTTCTTCTCATACAGCACAGCATGATTGTATTGTCCCCTTCTTCCTTGTGGTTCCTTCCTTCTCTCTCCTTTTTCCTCCTCTCTCTTTCACTCTCTCTTATCTCTCCCCCACCCTCTCCACTCCCTCCCCTCTCTCTCTCTCTCCCTCCCTCCTTCTTACACACACACACACACACACGCACACTCAAACACACACACTCAAACACACACGCATGCACACACACATACACACACACACACTAGGGCAGTTAGCAGTAACTGTAAGGTCCACAGCTATTGCTCATCACACATGCTGTTGCCCGCGCCTGCTCGCTCGCTCGCTCGCTCGCTTTCCCTTTCCCAGAATTGTTCGCTGGCAGCTCTCAGTGACTAGTCCCTCTCCCCACCCCCACCTCCCACCCCCACTATCAAGGCAACCACCCCCTTTCAGTCCTTTGCCAGCCTCATGAATATTTAAACATATCCAATCTGGACCCAATTACCCAGCGACTTTCCCACTGTACAGAGAGATTGCTAGGAAAAAGGCGAGAGGGAGGGAGGTCCATTGCAGATTGTTTGGAGGGGTGTGGCAAGGTATGGTGGTCGGAAGACAGCTGCATTTCTTGGTGTTTCTTTAAAAAAACAAATAACTATTCACATGTCAGTATACAGAAAAAGAACGAACAGGGACACTAGGTATCAGCGTAGGTTTTTGTATGTGTGTATATATGTCTGTTTCAAAGTAGTATTTGCATTACAGCATGTTATAAGCGCATGTATTTGGCTTTGCTTGGGCAGAATGTAGTTGACAAAACTACAACTGTCCCAACTGCCCCCAAGCATATGTGCTTCTCATCTGCTCCTTCTGCAGGTACATTTTCTAAGTTCATCCACTGTGCAGCGTTAAGGGGAAAAAATACCCATGTGATGTCATTCGTTAAGTATACAAATCTATAGGCACACACCAAGAAGTCCATTCAATAAACTTGCAATTACACTATGAAGTTGTAGATAATCCTATATACACTGAGAGCAATTCCCACTTAACACAGTGACAGATAAAGATGCATAGGATCAGACAAATATGGAGCAGACCGTATGGTTTATCTAGTCTAGCCACATATTCAGTCCAAGAAATCCAGACCTACAGTATTCCAAGCAGATCTGCTTTACATCTCTAATGTCTATGTAAAGTTCTCCAATTCAGCCTCTATCTGGTTCCATTTTTGCATTGCTGTTACCTTTGTTGTTATCAAATTCTCTGAATGTTCCACTAAAATTAATCTTAAAGAGAACATTAAGAGAATCTTAAAGTCTCTATTCCCTAGAATAGAGAACCAGTCTATTTTTTGCTGTGTGGCTATAAAGATGTATGGATTAGCCCATGTCTCATCTGTATCACTAACAAATGTATTCAATCATTAGCCATCCATCATATATCTGCTTCATTCTATAAATTAAAGATAATGGAAAAAGCATTTGTTTTTGCATTCAACTTTTCCTAATGTAAGCATATTGTATATATTTGGTATACAAAGCAAGACTTCCAAATATTATGAAATTCATATTATTAGCGTTTCCTTAATGTATAACACTGTAATACAATTTTAAGCCAAGAATTATTTCAGAATGGTCTCCATAAATTATATGTCCATTCATATATATGGATATTGTTTTGATCACTTTATTTTGCTTGAAAAAAAATCTGAGATTGCTCTAGTATTGCTACATGGCAGCCTTTCAGCTTTTTGAAGAGTAATATATCCACTAGAGTTTTCTGTTATCAACCTTTCCTTACAAGGTGTGATTTTCATGGCCAGGATTTCATTACCCTATTTTTAACCCTTGAAAATAAAGATAATGAAGTGGTAGATACTGGCCTTTTAGAATCAGCTATCAACAGTACAGGAACCAGCAGTCAAAAAATATGCTTCAGATTACCATCCATAGGGTAGCAATGAAGGCCTTCGGAAAGATATCTAGATGCCATGATGTGCCTATATCTACAAAGGCCAGAATAGTTTTCCCTGTGACACTCTATGGAAGCCAAATTTGGACTTTGAAAAGCAGGATAGAAAGACTATTGATGCTTTTGGACTTTACCAAGGATATGGTCAAAAAAGTCAAGATGGTAGCTGCAACTGTGTGATCAAAGCTCTGCCAATTTACACATCATACACTTAAAAAACAGGTGGAGCTTTGATCACACTGTTGTGGCTACCATCTTGATTTTTTTGACCATACCCTACAGACACCCCTGAACTGCTGGAAAAGACCCCTGAGAATACCATGGATAGCTAAGAAAACAAACAAATGGATCATGGAACAAATCATTCCAGAGTTCTCACTCAAGGTATACATGACCAGAGTGAATTAAATCGTATGTAAAGACCCAGCTTTCTGGAGAAGTCTATAATGCTGGGAAAAGTAGAAAGAAAGAAAAGAAGAGGATGACCAGCAGCAAGGTGGATGGACTCAAATACAGCAGCAATGGGTAAACCATTGGAAGACCTGAAGGGCAAGTGAGGACAAATCATCATGTCTACCTATGTGGTTATTAAGAACTGACACTGACCTGATGGTACATAATCAATTTTAACCCATTCAATGATATGTCTAAAACTGAAAGTGATATTATAGATTACTTTTTTGCAACTGCATCACACTGATGGCTCAGTTCAACCTGTGATTTTCTATGGTCCTGATATCCTTTTCATCTATATTCCCACACCCATCTTGTATCTGCACACAGTATAACTTATTTTAGAACTGTTATTTATTAGCTATCAGAATTATTTTTGTAAAAGCAAATGTATTTGTTGAACTCTTTATATCAGAAACAAGGATATTGCTATCAAAATAAATGTTATGCATGCCTGTGTCTTCTCTTTACTTTTACAGACAAATTAGAGCATTCCGTTTCATGGGCCTTCTGAGAAACTGAAGTATGATGACTAATTCTGGAAATGTGAAAATTCATATAAGCCAGGAAATCTGTGGATCAGAGCCATTATGAAGTTACTGAAATGAAAGTTTTAATAAAATCAATTGCTTTCCCCTCCCCCATAGAGTTCTTCAACTTCCCTTGCCAATAATACATCAGCCCATACAAAGATTATTAAGGTTAAAGCTATCTTCCTTAGCCTAATGAACTCCAAAATTGTACTTCTCCTCCCATTATCCTGGCTGGGGATTATGGGAGTTAAAGTTCAACACTCCGTGGCACACATTGAGGAACGCTGGATAAAATAGTTAAAACTATTGCAAGCTTATGGTGCAGTTAAGGCCCAGCAATGTGTAGCCTATTGAGTTCAATTAAAATTTTAAAAATTAATTAGAAAACGTGTTTATCTCTATTCTTTTCACCTGATTATTTTCCTTTCCAGATACATCCATTTATTTCGGTAATGGCCAGCCAAGATGGTGCCATATAGCACCTTCTGAAATTGTGCTTGACCAGCGGTGGGAAACCTGTGACTGTACAGCTGCATGTGGTATCCAAGTCCCCTCTTGACACCCTCAGAAACCCTTCCACCTCTGAAGGCCTCTTTTCCTGACATTCTGAAGTGAGAAACCCACAAAAATGTAACATAAGCTGTCAAAAAATCTCAGCAAAAAGGGGAAAAAAGCAGAAACCAAAAAAGTTAAGTGCAGATCTTGGCCACCGAAAAATGGACTACTGCTGCGTTTCATGGAAGGATATGAACTATTTTCCAATATTTCCTCCAGTTGGTAATAATGGGAATGACATATAAGCCTAGCAAAAAAATTAATTATTTAAAAACTAAATAAATAAATTATCGAATCTAGTGTGTTTTAACATTTATAACTATTAATTAAAAGATTTCTCCAGCTTCACAATTTCTTTTCATTTGAAGCATTATTTTATATGTTGGCAAATTCTGCTCCCTTAATCTTGATATTAAATAAGCATGCATCTCCTCCATTCCATAATAATTTTGTTCTGCAGTATTATATAACAAAGAAGAAATGCCCCAGTATAATACAGTCTATTCTTAGACCTGAACAGGTCACTGTTTTGACTGTTTACTCTTCTGACTAAATTGTTGGTCTCCCTCTTCAAAAAATCACATGGCATTCTATTCAAGGAAAACTCTTTCTGTGGAAATGAAGTTGGCCCTAACTTATATTCTTTTTTTAGTATCAGATCAACATTTTTACCAGAAATTTTAGACTAACGTATTTTATGTTCGGAGAGATGTACTGCCTTTTATTCTTTTAATGGATGTGTGCATTGTTTCATTGTGTCCTTTATTAGAAGTTTTGTTCAATCTTGTATGCATGTTTAGCTTTATAAGAGGTGAACCAAATGGCCTGTCTAATTTATTGAAGTCACAAACATTGGGCAAATAAGTTCTCTGGATTTATCTATGAAAAGAAAAATTCTGCAATAATTTCTCAAAGGCAGGATTCTCCCGTAGCAGCGACAGTAGCACTGTTTTGCATAAAACCCAAAGGGAAAAATTTCTGTAAGATTGGTTCCTGTTGTGTGTAATAGAAGCATGAAATAATGTAAAAGTCAGAACTTTTGCAGTCCTCCTAGTCAACTTGTAACTCAATATGTATAAGAAAGCAATATTCCATTCATGAGATGGTTGAGAATTTTTCTTTTCCCTTAAATACAAATATTTATATTTAAAAATCCTTTTCATAAACTTCAATAAGAACTGCTAGGAAAAAAGCAGAATTTTTCTGCCCAATGCATTTGTTATAAAATGGAGAGTATGCAAATATTTAAATAATAATAATGCTAATTTATTTATTAGTCCTTAGCCCATATCAGAATATAAAATATAAAATACAGAACAGTAATAAGACCATAGTAGTTAGGTTTCACAGATTGTCAAATCCATCCAGAAAAGCTCCCCACAAGGAGTGAAAATATTTGTCCAACTCTATAAATCTGAACCAGCATTTTACTTTTTATGCCGAAAAGGTCCAGCATGAAAGGCTGCTGCCTGGGCAGAGATTCATATGCTTCCTATAATTGTTATAGTATAGATGAAAGTTCTGAAATACTCTTCACTTACAGCATGCTACAGCAGTCTGAAAGAAATTA